ATAAACTTGTTGATGAATCCTTAAAAATTCTGGCAAATGTTTTGAGATGGTAATCTTCCAATAAATCCAACAATAGGCCTTTGCATGTATCAACCAGTAGGTGGAGCAGACAACATAATTTATTACCCAAGAACAAGGGCAAAGGAATGAAAGTCAGTTGATTTGGAATAAAACAAATCTGCAAATGAGATTTTCTTCAAAGGAAATATGTCCTATATATGTTAGATTTAGTTTGACTGGTTACTGAATCAAAATAAATAACTTTATTAAATAATCAATCTTTGCAGAAAGATAAATTAAATTTATAAATGGAGGCAATGCTTGCATTTTAGTTTACTCAAATCAACTAAATTAGCTTTCCTTTCAAAAAACTTTTGCAGGGACAAAGATTTTTTGATGTGTTCATTTAATAAGGACTCTAAACCCAATCCTGTTTTACAGGTGATGGGGTGCATAACAAATAGTATTTTCTGGGAAATATAATTGACTAATCCTATTATGGCTGTAGCAACAAATTAACCTTATTACTACTAGTAAATGGTGATTGATTATTTATGCAAATAAGTTACCATGTTCAGCTTTCTGATTGAAATAAACATATACAAAAGGTGCTTTAATATGACTTGAACTTTTTAATTAATAAAACCCTGAGGGGTCTATTAATTCACTCATTGCAATATTAGTTATTTACTCGTGTAATTCCTATTAGCACAAACATATTTGCTTGAATAAAGATGAGATCATTAATACCAGTAAAAATTAGTAATATCTTTTGAAACTATTTAAAGACATACAATGAATTTATATTAAAATAGGCTAAAAGCTGACTTTAAAAAAGAAAGCTGACTTTGCTATCAGTATATGAATATATCAGTATATCAGCAGAATCATTTAAAAATTATTAATGCACTAAATAACACATGGTTTCATTTACTATCTATATCTGAATTCATAAACATAATTTTGGCAATTCCTTAGCTTTTTAAAAACATTATTTGCCTGAATTAATGTTTTATTTATACTCATCTAAGGTAAACTATATTAGAATTATGAAAATTCAATGTAGAAATTAGTATTCCACAAATTATATTAATAATACCATTCCAAAAATTATTGAAACTTCCAATAAAAATAGTGTTTCTTTCTGCAAAAGTTGTTAGATTTATTTATTCCATTTAAGCAGGTCAACAAAATTTTTCCTACCCTGACTTATAAAAATAATTCACACTTGAATATTATTTGATAAATTTTCAAATATCTGTACATATTGAAAGTCAAACACAAGGTTTTAAAATACCATTTGCTTTTATTTTTTATTCAAGTGTATCTAATATAATTTGAAGTCAAAACTCTTGAAACAAGGAATGAAATTGATCTAAACAAGAAATATTTTTAAATTCACAGTTAAATTCCTATATAATTGCCGAGTCATTCTGAGAAAATGAATAACAAAAATTACGTTAAGTACATTATGTCTTTCACTCTCAAGTCTAGTTTAGGGAAAGAATTCAAAGTTTTTGATTAAAACAGAACAAAATAGTCAATTGCATCAGCAAAATCACTAATATAAATGGTGGTTAATTTCAGTGAGACTGCTTATATAAGCTATAGTGGAAAATTAGCAATTTCCTTGTATTTAAAGAAGTTGTTTGACATTAGATTGAAATTAGGCTGAATGCTCCTTGTGAATAATGATTGTATGTATATATGTATATATACTAAAGTCCTAGTACAGTATCAACACATGGTAGGTACTCAAAAATATGTCATTTGGAGTAATCAGCTGATTAGGTTGAAATTCATATCCACTATATTAAAATACTAAGGTATTGCATACATTTGTTTAGATGGAGAGAGTATGTGATTTTGACTTGAAAGAGTTTTCTAAGGCGATGAAAAGTAACTGATTTAAAGCCAAGGAAAGCAAATCTGGAGGGACATAGGAATAAAACATTTGACTTTCCAGTATCTTTCAGTCAATAAAACTAATCCCTGGAAAAACGAACAAATGAGACACTAAGGTGATCTGCTATTTAACTTTATCACCAAAAATAAAATATAAAAATAAAAATCAAGATATAATCCATGTTTGTATAAATATGTAAAAATAGACTCTATTGTCATTCATAAGTGAAAAGAACAACAATAAAATATACATAATAAAAATTATCTTGCTTCCTTCTCATATCAGGACAAAGGGGAAAGCTGTTACAGTGAATGTGCCTTACCTTTTTATTTAACTAAATAATGGCTATACAGTTTTCTAATAAATAAATAAACATATAAATAAATAAATAAAAATAAAAGCCTGGGGGGGGGGGACATCTCCTTAGGTTCAAATGGTTGTCCTTCTATCACTCCAGTTCCTGTGATCAAAAATTAATCTCACCATTGTATACCAGTTTTCCAGAGTCAAACTAAAATCTCTGATATTTTTATAATATTTCTCTCCTAGGGAGGTGATTTGAGGCCATAATTTCCCCAATAATACCCTACAGTCTGTGAAATCATGTTTAAAATGAGATGGGGTGGGAGGGGGGCACCAATACAAAGACGCCAGTAGAAAGATCTCTAATTTTCATTAATAACCAAAAGAAAAAAAGGAATTTTTTTTAAAAAAATGGTGCTTTCAACTGGTACAACAAATAGAAGAAAATGAAAGTATTGAAACTTAGCTTATCCTTGACAAGCTAAATTCCAGTAATATGATCGTGATCATTTACTGAATGCCCTCCAAGAGCCTGGCACTCTTTTAAATATATTACATTTAATCCTCATAAAATTCTTTCAAGGTGGGTTTCATTATCCCATATATGTAGAACAAAACAGAGGCTCAGAAAACTCAAGGTAATCTCTCACTCTAAGTGGGAGAGCTGAGAGGCCAATTCAGCTGTCTGATTATAATGTCCAGGCTCTTTCCTTTGTACCATACTGCCTCAAAAATAATGATTTTATTAGATGCCAGTGAAGTCTGGAGACAAGGGATCACCGAACTTCAGTTTCTATACATTGCAGGTTATACCAGTAACCTGCATACCATATAAGCAAGGAGAAAAACTGAATGCAGCATAGACAACTTGTGTTTGTTGATGCACATATACCTAAAACACAATAGCAATGTTATTTGAAAATTCATTAAGGTCCATGAGTCAAGTCTTCTGGGTATACTTGAAAAAATGTTTATGAAATTGGACACTCAATTTTAAAACTGAAATCAATCTTATTAAAAAGATAATGAAAATAAAGTCTCTATTGTGGTACAAGGCACATGGTAAGCACCCCATAGATATTTGCTATTATTTTTATTAGTAAAACAATCAAATTCTAATGGGCTTTCTAAATTTCAGTTTATTTTATTTATTTATTTACTTACTTATTTATCTACTTATTTAATGGTGCTGGAGATCAAACCAAAGGCCTCATGCATGCTAGGCAAGCATTCTACCACTGAGCTACACTCTCAACCCGTTATGGACTTTTAAAATTATTCCACTATACACTCAGTATTTCAAAACCTTGCATTGTATAGAATGAACAAATATTTGCATTAAATCTGATTTCTCCATTTTTTCATTGCTTTCTCCACTAACCATCACAAGAATAAACAATTAGAATTCAGATTAAGAAATATACAAATATACGAAAGGGCTTGGAGTTAACAAAATTAACAACTATATTATCAAGTTTAAAGAATCAGTAGTATTAATAACCCTCTAACTTAGTAAAAGTTGAAATTATTGATAGTTGGTAGTAATAGCTAATAGCAAAAACATTTTGGTACAAAGACTTTATGATTTCGATTCCTCTATACACAGTAGATCATATCAATCATACAACTACAATTTTTACATTGTTAGAGATTTTATAATAAAAAGTGAAAATATTTGCTTTTTAACTTTAAAATTATATTTAACTTATTCCTTAATTTGAGTCAAAAGACCTTGGTTTGAGTACAAGATCTATTACTACAAGTTTCATATCTGTAAATCAGCCACATAATAGCTCTGAGTTCATTTCCTTAGCTGTTAAATGAAGATAATTCAACTATATAAATCCAAGTAAATACAGGCATCATTATTAGCATTTAGACTACCAAGTAGGGCTAGAGATGCAGAAGATCCAGGTTACAAATACACAGGGCCAGTATTTACTGTTGTTGCATTTGGATACTTCTAATTATGGCATTCAGCCCTGATCTCACCCTCCACCCCTGGGACTTGACTTGCCCACCCCTGAAGATATCTGAATATGTGAATCTGGCTAGAACTAAGACACTGGAGGAGTCAAAGGTTTATAAGAAAAAATAAAACTCAGAAACTGCTAGGTTTCTGATTAGAGCTCAAGTTACAAAACATATTTCAACCCCAAATGCATGCATTTTTTAAACCATTTTTCTCTTGGAGCAGAATATTCTACATGCAATGTATTCTTTCTTAGCAACCATGACAAAATTTGAGGTAATTTAGCTAGTATAGGAGATATATTTCTAAGTATTTCAGATACCACATTTATTTTTCCATGTGAAGATGTAATTGCTGAAACAATTTTGTTAAAAGCATCACCTGAAAACTTCCATCAAGATTTAGAAAGGGGGAGAATAGTTTCAATCTCAACATTTGCTCAATTAAAAGAGAAAACATAAAAGCCATCTCAGCTTAATAACTTGTTAGTTCCTGATCAATTCACAACACAACAATAAGCCGCTGGGAATGAGTTTTGAACGTGAGGTTATGCCCTTCGTGTTGTGTTATCACTGTGGCAGATCACACTGCTGACTTGGACTTTTCTGCCAGCTTCGCAGAGCCTGCCTCTATGAAGCAGCTGTCACAGGCGAGTCATGGTGCCTGCGCACACCTACACAGAAGCACGAAATTGAACTCGAAGTAGTGTCTTTGTGATATCTTTTCAACAAGTCATGTCCCATTCAGCCTGCTAGTTTATCTCTGTCAGGCTAGGAGCCCAAGTGGCTTACGGGAGCTGTCAGGGACAGGTAGACCAACCTGCTTTGTGCTGAGGAGGTAATGCATCTTTCGGGCTTGATAATCTCTTTGCTTCTCTTCCTTTTCGAGGTTAGCCTTCTTCTCTTCTCTTTCTTTCATCTCTGCAAACTCCTCCAGTGCCTCCCTGCATCAAAAGTGTCTGCAGTTATTTATGATACTATCTGTTAATATTTTAATTCTTTCACTGATGATAATCAAGTTTTTTGAGGGGCAACCATTATCCACATCCATCAAAATCAGCAGTGTGTCTGACCTGCATATTCTATGTGAATCTTTGCAATCTTTAGAAAGCACTAAAAAGATGAATTAAATTTTAAAATTCAAATTTCTATATGTCATAATTAAATAGACAAGAAAATACTCAAATATACCAAGAAAGCATCTGAGATAGTGATGTTCTTTAAATTTTGGTATTATACTTAGAAATCTCAAATTATTCATTTTATACACTACCTACAGGGCCAGTTTAAAAAGTGTGACAGGTTTTATATATATGTTTAATTTACTGTAACTTTACTTCAGTTGATGGTTTAAATAATATCAATAAGATTACATCTATTATTGTGCATTTAAGAGATTGACATTTTATTTAAATATATAGGAAATTAGAATAAAAGATTAGTAAGTTGAAGTCTTTCTAAAGTATGACAAATTCAATTAAAATGTTGAGAATTTTCATCATTTATGTGTATATCTAGAAATCTAAAAAATATAAGCTTTTAAATATGCTATATGAAAAACATCTGCTAAAAAAATGTGATATCAAATATGGAAAAAATTGTATTCTCATAGGACACTCAATTACTCATGTCAATGTAATATTTATAAATTGTACTTTTTTGAGAAAATAGATATATAACTGTGTTTCTGGTGCCATCAGCAAAATTTTAAACAAATCATCTTTTTCTCAAATATACCAGGGAAAAGTAGGGGAAAAAAACACTTCAAAAACAAAAGAATGCTCCTTTAATTTCTAGAAATATTTTGTTGCAATTTTCTGCTAAAGGATACTAATGTAATACTTCATACAAGGTTACTTATGAAACACTCTGACGTTTAAAAATCACCATGCTCTGCTATTGTAGCAGAGCAATTTTTTCAACATAAGATTAAATTGCAAAATAAATGAATTACTTGGAGTAGCATGGACCCCATTTTGCCACCCTTCTCTTGAAAATTGCTTATTAATATGAAAAAAGGAGTCAGAAAATAACCTGTTTTACTTTATGCATAGTATTTTGGGGGCTTCTGCACCCACAGAGCTGGGCTAGCTGCACATTTAGATTGTGTTGGCAAGCTGGTACAATGACCTCTCTGACCTGCATCTCAAGGCTATTATTAATCGCTAAGTAACCTGGTAAAGCCAAACAAATTTGTTTCCATTGAAAGGATCTCTATCTGTGTCTGAGAATTTGTTCTGTACCAAACAAACCTCATTAACTGTGTCCATTTTTGACAAAGAAAAGGAGTTAGAGGGATTGGTGCCCTTTCTTTGTCCTTAAGGTACAAATTTCAAGGCAGTTACATATGAATAAATGAGAATTTTTAACCAGGAAAAACAACAGTCACATGTTACACTAAAAAGTGAATACATTATTAATTGTAGTCTTCACTTTTAATATTCTCCAAAAATAAATATTTCTTCTATAATTCCTCTTAGAAGACTTTAAGATAATTTAGAGTAACAAGTAAACTGCTACCATTAAGATAATTACTCAGAAATGTATGTATACAATTTACTATTACTCCAAGGATAAGTACAGTAATTTTCTTAGCAATCATAAAAATAGAAAAATACATCTACAAAGAAGCTTCTTTTTGATAAATGATTTAATAAACATGAAGTGATGTTACATAAAAAATAAAATTAAAAACTTAAATGGTTCAGGCACAAATAAGTACTGGTGTATAAAATCAAAACTAAGTTATTTGAAGTAGTGAAAACAGTCTATCTTCAGGATATAGAAATGTGAAATGCAAACTGTATTTAGGGGAAGGTTGCATGACTAGGAAAAATAAAACTGGGAAATATGAAAAAGAAGTCAATTTTTAGTATATAAAGAAAACTCACAGGAATCCCAGAGGAACTGGGATTTATTTCTTAAAATTTTTTTCTTAAAAATAAATTCAAGAAACTTAACAGAGCAGTAGAAAAACTAATCTTGCACATCTCAATGCACAAATTAATTCACACAATTATTGGAAAAAACAAATTCCTAGATTTCTAATTAATTCGTTATAATACCTGCGAGTGTGTGGATATATTGAACAATACAATTACATTAATGCCAAATATTCCTTGCTAAATGACAAAATATAAAAAGCAGAAGAAATTACTTATCCTTAAAATACATATTTTTGTTACAATAGCAGGGATAAAGATATAGCTCATTATATAGGATATAATAAAAAATATGATCCCGTGAATCTGGAGATTTATTTAAAATATAGTACTTAGTAGGTTGTTTACAATAATTTTTTCATTTAATTATATTTTTCACTTGTAGCCTCAAAATATTTGTGATACACACAAGGTATTGTGATATGTGTGTGTGTGCATATATATGCTAGCTATCCTATTTTACATTATGGAAATATATAAAAGACTAAATAACATACCCCAAAAACAAATTGGTTAATGGCAGAGTGAAATTAAAATCCTTAGATTTGAGGATTTTCTAATATTAGATCAGGCTTTAGCCATAACCCTGATATAAGAAATCTTATGCATATGATATTTTTATCGAATTAGCCATGCATATTTTCTTTTATCTTATGATTTTATTTTCTACTATATTATAAAACCCATAAAAGTTCCAAAACTTTCTGCATCATTTTCATATCTCTAAAGCAATTCATGATATAAATTTATGTTGTTTTTTTGGTAGTGGGGAAATGAATCCCAATTCATGCTATACATGTTAAGCACACATTCTATCACTGAGCTACACTGCTACAGCTCTTGTGAGTTAGTTTTAAAATAAATATAACAAATGTAATTTTTGCAAAGCTCCACATTTGAAAATATTTTGCTAATGATATTCATAGTGATGAAAATATTTGCATATTCTAATAATGATAACAACAACAAAAATAACAATAGCCACTGGGAGGCAATATAGTGGAGTAGTTAACAGCATAAACTGTGAAGTGGCTCGTGATTATAAAAGTTCTGGTGTGCTACTTGTTAACTGTTTAACTTCTGAGCTTCAGTAATCTCACCTGCAAAATGCAGATATGTTAGCATTACTATCATCCTCACCAAGTTTTTGTGAGGATCAAATCAGCAAACATATATAAAGTACTCAGAGCAGTCACCAGTGCCTAATAAAATGCTATAAAAGTGTTAGATATTTCTTGAACATTTGCTATGAACTACATACTAGACTACTTGCTGCATCTCCTATAAGTCTTTTATCCTTTCTATAACTTTCTTGATGGTCTCCTCCGTTCTCCCTCCTCATTAGTGTGCACTTTGTGGATGAAATTCTACAATGCTTAGTATGGAATCTGGCTTTCTAAAAGGCAGGTGAGATGAGATAAACCTTGACCAGTGCAAAAGCGGAGTCAGAAGAGATCCACACAAATAAATTTCCCTTTATTATATCCTCCACATACTACTCTGAGTGGTTTCACCTTGCAGACCTGTCAAAAACATGTGTGACTCAAGATAACACACATATCTACCAGGCCGTGTTGCATCACTATGGGATCTATATGAAGCAGTGGCCAGGAGAGCAGCTCACCACATCATTTGGCTTGCTACAGGACCAAAGCACCCAGCTTCCCAAATTCCAGTTTTGTCACTCTCTTCCCAGAGCCTGCACCTGATAACTAAGGATCGAGAGAGTATACATGGGCCCAGAAACTTTCTCTCAAATTGAGACCACTCTTAAGGGTCATCCAGATCCCAGAGCTTCTTGAAATTGGCTGGTACCACTGATGAAGTTCAATATCCTCTGCCCCTCATCCTCTCTTCTCCCAACAAGTGATATTCCCTAAAATGTTCCTCAGTAAACCTCATGCTCAGAGTCTGTTTCCATCTATGACACTTCATATACCCTCTTTTTCTTATCCTCATTGCATTTTTGGTCCCAAAAGTCCAAGAAAAAGAAAGCAATTCTTGTATCTGTTCTTGTGATGGCCAAATCTCTTTCTGTGAAGGTTCCATGGGCATTACTTAATTACCTCCTAAAGTACCCAACTCCAAATCCCATCACTTGTGAACTGAGGCTTCAATATGTGGACTAAATGCTGTGTCATTCAAAATTCATATATTGAAGTTGCTTTCTCTTCCTCTGTCCTCTGAAGGTATAATGAGAAGTCATCTGCAAACAAAGAAAAGTCCCCTCACCAGACATTAAATCTGCTGACCCCTTGATCTTGGACTCCCCACTCTACAAAATGCAAGAAATTTCTATTGTTTAAGTCATCCATTCTCTGCCTTTCTGTTATTGCAGTCAAAGTCCCTCCCAAAGCACTTGGCCTAATACCTGGTAGTAGGTATTGTGGGTATTAGCATTAGTATAAAAATTATTGCTAACATACTTTTAAACTATTTCTCAATTTACTAGTGTACTTTATCACTTCTGATGGCTTAATTATGAAAGGAAGATGCCATATTAAGAAAAGCTTCTTTGGAAAATGGAATAAAATCAGGACTCTGGCTCTTTGCATAAGACAGTGGTTCTCAAACTGCAGCATCACCTGGGAACCACTAGAAGTTCATAGTCTCCAACAACACCAGAACAACTAAATCAGAAATTCTGGGATTAGAACTCTGAGGCAATCTCCTACTGCTAAAGTTTAAGAAGCACTTGTCTACTACAATGAAAACTATATGTTGTTGAAGGATTAAGATGATTCTATTTTTTTTCACTAGTGTGACATTATGAAGAAATGCAATTATATTTCAGTTAGTAATCCTACCACAGACTTCACAATATTAGCTGAAGCATTATGAAGTATTACAAGAAGAAAGGGTACTTACAGCACAGTACTTACAGCACAGTAATTTCATAAAAATCATAAGTTGATCGAATTAAAGAATTATTTGGAGATTGCTTTAAAAGTACAAATGCCCTAAATTTTAGAGGGAACTATCAACAATACTATATAGATTTC